TCTCTCTCTCTCTCTCTCTCACACGCACTCTCCCCCTCCACCTTCTCTCTTTCAGTCTTACCCTTCTCACCGTCTCCCCGTCTTACTTTTCACGGTCCCCAGAAAAGCAGCAAAAACAGCATAAAATTTCGCACGCCGACGTCTGCCACGTCTCTATCTATTTTTATCCGCTGACCTCATCGTCGCTCGCCTGTAAGATCAACCCTGGATAGTCTATATACGTTTCAATTCTTCAATTCATTTCTTCAGTCTCTCGAAGAAATGATTCCAGCTTTCCGAGTTTCGGATTACGCGCTCTATACGGTTTGCATGCCGCTGCATGCACACCATTTCAGACGTTCCTATACGGTTATTAATTAAACCTCAATCAGACGTTGAGCGATGAAATCTCAGTAGGAAGAAGGGGGCAGCTGCCGGGGTATGTGTATATCTTATGGCTGACATCGGCTGCTAATCTGATAATCTTGGCAAAGCGTGGCAAATAATTAATATGCTCCCAATAAATCTGTGATAGCTGCTCCGCGTGTGTCGAGCGGTCTTTGGTCGGCCTTGATCGGCACTTGGTGTAATGTTATCAGGACTGTATAATATAGAGTGTATAATATATATATATATTATATATTAGACAGTCCTAGTATTATCTATGAGTAAGAACAGCTCTGGGCGGCGGCGTTTGCGATTGTAAAGGCATGCAGACTGCTGCTGCTGCTGCTGCTTCTCCTCCTCCTCCTCCCATTACTATTACTACTACTACTAATACTAATACTTTTCAATATCATCTTCCTCCTTTTCCTCCTTCTCTTCCTTGTCACATTTTTTACTCCTTTTCTTTTTCTTCCTCCCATCTCCTCCTCCTCCTCTTCCTCATCCCTATTCTCCTCATACTGTGTATTCTTCTTTTATTGTTTCTTTCCCCCCTTTTCTTCATTTTCATTTTTATCTTCCTTTATCGCCGCCGAGCATCGAAAGATAAAACGGAATAGCTGCTAACATCAAGACTACAGAAGAAGCCAAGCATGCATGCTGCATGTTCGAGACCCGTCGGCAACCTCATAGAAACCACCATGCAGCCAATTTAGACGGTTTCAAGTCCTGTCTCGATTCACAAACTCCGTCGTACCCACGCAAAAGGTTCGAATCGCGTCGCCGCCGTGATACGAAAGCAATCGCGCTGGTTCCCGCGGGTTCGAGTCCCGACCGTCAACTCACGCATTGCTATCGAAACCGCGACGGGTTCCCGGGTTCAAGTCCCGACCGTCAACTCACCACGCTCACGACGAGGGGCTCGCCGCCGCCACCCTTCAGTTCGAATCCCCAAGGAATGAACTCCTGTCCGCGCACGATCTTGACGTTGACGATGGGCATGATGACGTGGCTGCTGTTTGCGCGATGTATGCCGGAGAGATAACCGATGTCTTCTTCTTCTTCTGCGTTCCTCTCTCTCTGTGGCTTCCTCTCTTATCGACGGGAGACGGTGTGTGCGATCCCGGCGTCCCGGCACTGCACGGGTCTTTGCTGCAGACGGCTCCAAGATGGTGTAAGGGGTAGGGGTGTGCGGGCATGTTTAGCAGGAGACGTGACGGTGATATGATACAGGAGGTGACAGATCGCCCCTCTCTCTGTGTGTGTGTGTATATCGCCCGCATCTCTCTCTCTCTCTCTCTCTCTCTCTCTCTC